CGAAACAAACACGGCGCAACCACGGAAATACGGAGCAAATACGGGACAAGCACGGGAGAACCAAGGGACAACAACGGCACAACGGGACAACCACAGGACAGCCACGGGACAACCACAAGACAACCAAGGGACAACTACGGGATAACCACGGAACATCTGCGGGACGACCACGGGAAAACCACTGAACAACCACTGAAAAATCACGGGACAGCCACGGGACAACCACGGGACAACCACGGAACAACCACGTGAAAACCACGGGACAACCGCGGGACAACCACGGGACAACCACGGGACTACCACGGGGCAACCACGGGAAACCGATCGAACAGTCGATCAGTCTCACGCTCAATTTACCGATCTCAATATCAATGAAATTACCAGTCGATGATAGCACGAATAAACGGTCTCGACATGTTTTTCTCGATCTTTGTTTCAATCAATCGGTGTCACTATCTGTCGGTCTCACTATCGACGACCACCCTCTGGATGATAAGAAGGTGCTGGGGGAATTGAAATCGCATGTGATGCACAGTTTATATTCACAAAAAGACACTCATCGGAACATCAACATGCATTGGCGCGAGGCCCCGGCGAGGCTTCTGCCAAGATCACAAGCGCTCACAGGCATTATCCTCCTCCGCTTCCTCCCTCCTCCTCCGCCTCCTCCCCCTCCTCCTCCTCAACTTCCTCCTTCTCGTCGTCCTGAACAGATTGTGATCATTTTTGGGATAATCCTGAATCGTTTTTGTTATGTAGACATGGCCTGTAAATTATGATACTATAGTTTCGTAGAACACATGTGTTTGGCATCATGACCTCAGGACAACAATTGGGAAGACGAACGGAGGAAAAATTGGGACAACCATCTATCATCTTTCCATCGATCTCACCGTCTACCGGTCTCACTGTCCCTCCTTATATGCCCATCGATCCTCACAACTGATCGTCCAATTTCCACCATGGAAAATTACCCGAACAGTGACTGCACTTAAGGGTTCTTATTTCTGCTCTGAAGAACTAAGCCGGGTGGCCAGTCTAGCGGCTATGTTGTCGCCGTCGCCGCTCCGTCGCCGCCGCGTCGCTGCCCGTTGTTTGGGCCGCGTGGCCGGTCTGACGGCCATGTTGTCGCCGACGCCCCGTCGCCGCCTCGTCGCCACCGATGGATTCTCGTTTCTTGAAAAGAATGTGGATCTACCCCGTCCCCGGGGTTAAGAGCCCACCTTTCCGCATTGCGATTTACATACGATTGTGCCCCATCGCCCATCCGAAATATAAATCTTACCATCCCTGGCAGGCTGGTATCGGTTCCCTCCCCCTCATCCTCTGCAAAAACAACCATGCGCGCACACCCCTTTTCATCATCAAAAACTAGCAGTTTCAAAAATCTCTCGCCAAAAGAAGGGACGAAGTGCACACGCGCGCGTCGTCACGCGCATGCCGACACTCTCTGCTTCAAAGCAAAAAGCAAATGTACATATTCATCTTTTGTTGAAAGGAGATGGAGAGGGGGCAATAAAAAAAAACAGCAGAAAACTGTTTCATTATGTTTTTTTTCTGCATTCGTTGTTTACCAAAAATGAATGCCGTAGGGATGTCAAAAACGAGTGTCCCGCAAACATATCTAAACACATGGCGTTGTAACACCTGTTTTCAAAAAATGTTGCGCTCGCGCTCTCGCAAATTCTTATGAAAACTACCGGTGTTTCAGCACGTTCGTCAGACTCTGCCAAACGGGCCTCTCGCGCCGCATGTCGAACTCATTCGAACGCCCTACGAACCGTGTCAAAGAATGCCAAGCGGGCCACTCGCGCACGCCGGCCGCGCGGGCATGTCGAACTCCGTCAAAAAACTGTCATCGCCGACGCGAAAACATCGTCATCGTTATCGGCGGGCGTGATCAACATCGGCGCCGTCATTGCCCTTGCCGTCGTCACCGCCACCACCGTCACCATCATAGCTACTGTCAGAATCGTGTCTACCATTGTCGGCGTCGCCATGATACCGCGCCCGCCCACGTCACCGACTCGCACGAAGTGCCCGCTGGGAAGTGCCCAGCGGTCAGCGCCACCGCGGCCGCGTCGGTCGCGCCAAACTAGCTGGCCGCTGTGCGCGTGAGCGTGCGCGGGCAGCCGCAGAGATGCACCAACCAACCCTAGGCACTCATCGCAATCGCCGCCGTGGTGTTGCAAACCAACTTGCGGGTGTGTGGGTAGGATGTTTGCAAGGGCATGGAATCTGCCATTTCTTTTGTCAAAATCAATTGCACCACATAGGTTGCACAAAGAAACGCGCCTCAGGTGCGCTTCTAGATCGCTCGGAACATAGATTTGCACCACATACATTGCACAACAGAGATTGCACTACACAGCTTGCACAACTACCTATATTGCACCATTCTAGAGATTGCACCGCATATACTGCACCACATAGATTGCACAATATATACTGGACATGTGCTTGGCATTGTTTTGGCATGTGCTTCTTTTCGGCCCTCCAACAATCAAAACGGTCCAAGAGACCTCCAAGATGGCCACCCTGGGGCTCGTGTTCCCCGTCGCGCAGCGAGCGGAGGTGGCCAGACGCCCGCCTCCAGGTCGCGTGCATCCCCCTTCTCTTGCTCCCTTCCCTCCCTGCCCATATCAAATCCTCAACCTGCTGTTACGCACATGTCCCTCCTCCTCCCGGCAAACGAGCGACAGAGCAGCCCCAACAGGATGATAAAGCGCAGACTTGAGAGGCGCGCCAGCCCGACAGCTCCGATGATGCACCACTGAGGGCACGCGGGCACTGCAGACACCGCCGCCCCGGTGTACGCGAAGCGAGCTCGCCTGGCATTCCCGCTGGCTGATACTCCACCAGCGCATGTTATCATTATCCTCCTCCTCTTCCTCCTCCTCCTAATCCTCCTCCTCCTCCTGTGTATCATCATCACATCACCTCCACCACCCGCATCGTCAGCAGCATCATCATCATCATCATCATCATCATCATCATCATCATCATCATCATCATCATCATCATCATCACCATTACCAGTTGTCCTTCAATGCACTTCAGCTTCGGCTTTGGCTTCAGATGTGGGTACGCCGTAAGGCGCCTTCGGGCTAGCTCACCCGAGTCGGTTTTCCACTCGCATGGGTGCCTGACCAGTTGGGACACTGTAACTAGCCAGACGAGCCTTTACAAGCATACGTGAAACGTCCTGATTGGGAAGGCCCGTTTTGCTAGGGAAGGCCCGGTTGGTTTGGGAAGAACGGGGCATCCTGTAGCGGAAGGCCCACTTAGTTTGGGAAGGCCCGGTCCATTTGGGAACCCCTGGGGGCCTTCTATTGCGGAAGACCCCTGAAAATGTGGGAATGCCCAGTCCGTTTAGGAAACCCTGGGGGCCTGATGTTGCGGAAGACCCGCTTAGTTTGGGAAAGTTTTGTCCGTTTGGGAAAACACCAGGGGCATCATGTTGCGGAAGGCCCAGTTAGTTTGGGAAAGCACGGTCAGTTTGGGAAGGCCTGATGTGTTTGGGAAGGCCCAGTTGGTTTGGGAAGGCTGGGTCTGTTTGGGAAGGCCGGGGCCTCATGTTGCGGAAGGCCCGCTTAGTTTGGGAACGCCCGGTCGGTTTAGGAAGTCCCAGGCCGTATGTTGCGGAAGGCCTGGTTAGTTTGGGAGGGCCCACGAGGTCGAGCGGTCACATCCTGGCGGTCAGGCCGGTCGGGTCGGGCGGGACGTTGAAGCAGTGGGCAATCCACCCACCCAGGCATCAACGGAGGCGGCGAGGACGACGACGACGAGGGCGACAAGGACGACGAACGCGACGATAACGACAAAGCCGATGACCAGGACATCGACGACGACGACGACGACGACGACGACGACGACGACGACGACGACGACGACGACGACGGCCGGACCCTGACAGGCGGGCAGGGCGGGCGGGCCCTAACGGGCGGGTCGGGCGGGCGGGCCCGAACGGGTGGGTCGGGCGGGCGGGCCCCAACCCGCGCCCTGACGGACTGGTCGATCGGGCGGGCCCTGGCGGGCGGGCGGGTCGGGGGGGCCATACGGGGCGCATCGGGTGGGCGGGCCCTGCCGGGGAGGTCGGGCGGTGGGACCTTGGCGGGCCGCTGGGTCCGCGGGCGGGCCTTGGCGGGCGGGCGGGTCGGGTCGAGCGGGACATCAAAGCCGTGCGCACTCCACCCACGGAGGCGACAACGACGACGGCGGCGGCGACGACGACGAGGGCGACAAGCACGACGCACGCGACGATGGTGTGGAGGCCGACGACCAGGACATCGACGACGACGGCAACGGCGACGAAGACGATGGCATCGACGACGAGGACATCGAAGACGACGGCACCTAACGGGCGGGTCGGGCGGGCGGGCCCTAACGGGCGGACAGACCCTAACAGGCTGGTCGGGAACGCGGACTCTGGCGGGTGGGCAGGTCGGGCAGGGCGGGACATTAAACCAGCGGGCCATTCACCCACCATGACATTCGCGGATCCTGGCAACGACGAGGACGGCGAGAGCGACGACGACGGCGACGATGACAAAGACGGCGAACACTACGATAACGACGAGGCCGACGATCAGGACATCGACGACGACAAAAACCCCGACCATGACGAAAGCGATGACGACATCGACGACGACGAGGACGAGGACATCGAAGGCGACGGCAACAACATTAAAGACAACGACGTTGACCCATCGGGCGGGTCAGGCGGGCGGGCCCTAACAAGCGGGTCGGGCGGGCGGACCCTGACAGGCGGGTCGGGCGGGCGGCCCATGACGGGCGGATCGGGCAGGCGGACCCTAGTAGGCGGGCGGGTCGGGTCGGTCGGGACATTACTGTAGTGGGCAATCCATCCATTGCGACATCCACGGAGGCGGCAGCGAGGGCGTTGAGGACGACGACGACGACGACGACAACGACGAAGAGGACCACAAGACGACGAACGCGACGATAACGACAAAAGCCGATGACCAGGACATCGACGACGACGACGACGACGACGACGACGACAACAACGACGACGACGACGGCGACGACGACGACGACGACGACGACGACGACGACGACGACGACGACGACGACGACCACGACGACCACGACGACCACGACGACGACGACCACGACAACCACGACGACGACAACGGGCAATCCCCAACTGGCGGGTCGGGCGGGCGGACCCTGGCGGGCGGGCGGGTCGGGCGGGCGGACCCTAACGGGCGGGCCGGGCGGGCGGACCCTGACGGGCGGGCCGGGCGGGCGGACCTAGCGGGCGGGCGGGTCTGGGGGGCCCTACAGGGCGGGTCGGGCGGGGACGCTCGGGCCCTACGGGGGCGGGCCCCAACGCGCAGATCGGGCGGGCAGACCCTAACGCGCGGGTCGGGCGGGTGGCCACTGACGGTGGGTCGGCGGGCCCTAGCGGGCGGGCGGGTCGGGCCGGGCGGGACATTAAAGTAGTGCGCAGTCCACCCATTACGACATCTACGGAGGCCACGACGAGGGCGGCGAGGACGACGACGGGGGCGAGAAGGGCGACGAACGCAACGATGACGACGAGGCCAGGACGTCGGCAACGACGACGAAGACGACGACGTCGACGACGACGAGGACATCGAAGACGACGGCAACGACACCAAAGACAGCGACGCTGACCCAACGGGCGAGTCGGGCGGACGGACCCTAGCGGGCGGGCGGACCCTGACGGGCGGACACACTCTACCAGGCGGGTCCGGCGGGCGAATCCTAACGGGCGGGTCGGGTGGACGGACCCTGACGGATGGGTCGGCCAGGCAGATCCTAGCGAGCGGGCGGGTCGGGCGGGCGAACCTTAGCGGACGGATGGGCCGGGTCGGGCGGGACATTGAAGTACTGGGCAATCCATCCAGTAGAACATCCACGCAGGCGGCGACGTGGGCGGCGAGGACGACGACGACGACGACGAGGCCTACAAGGACGACAAACGCGACAACGACGACGAGGCCGACGACCAGGACATCGACGACGACGACGACGACGACGACGACGACGACGTCGACGTCGACGTCGACGTCGACGACGACGCGACCATCTACGACGGCGACGATATCAAAGACGACGACGCTGACCTGACCAGCGGGTCCGGCGGGCGGGCCCTAATGGGCGGGTCGGGAGGGCGGGCCCCAACGCGCAGATCGGGCGGGCAGACACTAACGTGCGGGTCGGGCGGGCGGCCCCTGATGGGCGGGTCGAGCGGGTGGGCCCTGGCGGGCGGGCGGGCCCTAGCCGGCGCGCGGGTCGGGCCAGGCGGGACACTAGGTGTAGTGGGCCCCCCCGCACCAGGACATCCACAGAGGCGACGACGAGAGCGGCGACGACGACGACGACGACGACGACGACGACGACGACGACGACGACGACGACGACGACGACGACGACGACGACGAGGGCGACAAGGACGGCGAACGCTACGATAATGACAGGGCCGACGACCAGGACATCGACGACGACGACGACGACGACGACGACGACGACGGCGGAGGAGGCGGCGGCAGCGGCGGCGGCGGCGGCGACGACGACGACGACCATGTTGCGGAAGGACCAGTGCGGCATCTGCTTCGGGAATTGACCATACAAGGAAGCGGCTCATGTTACGGAAGGCTCGGTACGGCCCCTACGCGCGAAATCGACCATGTTGCGGAAGGCGCGGTGGCCCAATAGAGCCCGGACGTAAGGATCAAAACCGTGTTGCGGAAGGCGCGGTACGTGTTGCAGAAGGCTTGGTACGGCTTCGTACGTCGGGAGCCGACCATGTTGCCGAAGGCGCGGTACATGTTGCGGTAGGCCCTGGTACGGCGTCCACGGTCGGAACCGACCATGTTGCGAACGGCGTGGCACATGTTGCGAAAGGCCCAGCACGGCGTCGTACGTTGGGAACTGACCATGTTGTGGCAGGCCCAGTACGGCCTCTACCTAGGGGGCCCACCATGTTGCGGACGGCCCATTTAGTTTGGGAAGGTCTTGGTCTCGGTGCATCCCCCCAAGCAGGCCTGGGTGGGGCCATCGTCCAGACAAACCCCCCGTCCCTCGCCCCCAGCCACCCTCGATGATCCTGAAGGTCGAACTTGGCCCCCACCCCTGCCCCACTCCCGACACCCTCTGGGCTGGCTGCACCAACCTCTCCTGGCTGCAGGCCTGCGCGCGGGATCAAACCACTCCTGGGCGGGAACACCAGCATGAGGAGCGCTGGGGTACATGGCAGGGCTGCTGCCAGCACCCTCATGCCGCAGCAACCGCTGTAGCCCACCGCTGCAACGCGAGCGCGTGTTGATACGCTACGAGTTCTGCTCCGCAGACCCGTGGGGATATCAACTTTAAAACAGATCTCTACCAGCACGCTGTCCTCCCAACTGAGCATGTTGTCGCCTGCCAACCCTACTGTCAAGGCTGGGCTTGCAGCAAAGCAAGAGCATGATCCGCTGGAGACCCCTTGGGGCTCTCCTGGTGCCGTCTGGGGCCGTCTAGGAGTCGTCTCGGAGCCTCCTGGGCCCTTCTCGCCCATCTTGGCAGTCACCTAGGCAATCTGGGGAGCTCTTGGAGCGCTCTGGCGTGCACCACGGCCCGCTCGAACGGCTCCGGGGCCCACCCTGAGAGCCGGAAGGCCCCCCCAGGAGGCCACGGGAACTCATCTTGGGGCTATCTTATGGAACACGCGCCCCGTTCGGCTCGCGAACCCGACGTGGCACGGGCAGCGACGAAGCAGCTTGGAAGTCACCGTCCTTCCCGCAGAACGCTGCTCGGTATCGCATTGCAGGTGGCAGCCGATCGCCGACGTCCGTCTCCTTCATGGGCGCCTGCCGCCACTCCAGCGCTTCCTGAGCCGGAAAGGGAGTCGACGCCTACCGGGGCCTCGAGCAGGCCTCGAGGAGGCCAAGCAGTACGCACAGCGCCGGAGGGCCCCCCTTGCAGTCCTCCGGGCATTGGCCCTTGGTCGGACATGTCCCCCCACAGGCGGATTTGGGATGAAAACTGAAAAATGCCAGAAAAACATTCCAAAAATACCAATAACAAAAAGAAGTCGAAAAATCGTCACCTGACTATTTCTATTATTTTTGCATATTCACTCTGCGGAGGGACACGCCCGACATAACATTGGCCTCTGCGTGCGCCTGTGCAGCCGGGCCCCGACTTCCTCTTGCTGCCCGCCGCGGCTGGGCGCCTCGCAGGCCCACTGCACGTCGCGCAGTGGCTGCCCAAACGCTTTACTGGATTCCGCTGGTCTCCGCGAGATTGGCGAGCGCACACCTCCTCCTCCTCCTCCTCCTCCTCCTCCTCCTCCTCCTCCTCCTCCTCCTCCTCCTCCTCCCCCTCCTCCTCCTCCTCCTCATCTGTCGGAATCTCGCCTTCGGCGCGTCCACACTCGTCAGACGAGTCTGGTAGGCCCGCTCCGCGCAGCCCGACTGCGCCGCGCCGCGTCAGGGCCGCCGCCGCCGCAGCCTTCGTCTCAGAATCCTTCACCGGCGGGGGCACCCAGAATATGTCGGAGCCTTCTCCGCTGGCCACGTGTCCGATTCCCGTGCGGGCGTCCCCGCCCTCACCCCGCCCACGCCATTGGCTCCCTTTGCGGCCGGGATCGCTGCCGATGCTGCGAGTCGCATACGCGCCCCTCAACCGCCCACCGGCGCCGTGGGCTCGCCCGCAGCTCCCGCTGCCATGGCTGCGCCGCGGTCGAGGGAAAATCCCCCGAGCGGCATATGGCCGCACGATTCGGAACACATGTGCACCGGGGGAGGAGGGAAGCACAAGGGCCACCCGCTGCAACACCGTGGCACCCACTGGTACATTTGCAGACGTGGAGTGCGGAGATGTAAGAGACAGCAAGATCTGATCGAATGTGTGTGATGGGTCCACGAAGTCCCGCGAAGGAGACCAGAGTGGCGACCATCGTCAGCATCGCCACCACCACCATTATCACTCCCACTCTCACTCTAACTCTCGCTCCTCCTCCCCCTCCTCCTCCTCCTCATCATCATCATCAGCAGCAGCAGCATCATCAGCATCATCATCATCAACACCATCATCATCACCACCATCACCATCATCACCATCATCATCATCATCATCAGCAGCAGCAGCAGCATCATCATCATCAGCATCATCATCATCGTCATCATCATCATCATCAGCAGCAGCAGCATCATCATCCGCAGCAGCATCATCATCAGCATCATCATCAGCAGCATCATCAGCAGCGTCATCATCAGCATCATCATCATCCGCCTCCTCCTGCTCTTCCTCCTCATCATCAGCATCAGTATCATCAACACCATCATCATCATCAACAGCAATATCATCAGCAGCATCATCATAATCATAATCATAATCATCATCATCGTCATCATCAGCATCATCAGCAGTGTCAGCATCATCATAATAATCAGCATCATCATCAGCATCAGCATCATCAACACCGCCATCATCAGCACCACCTCCATCATCATCACCACCACCACCACCATCATCATCATCATCATCATCATCACCACCACCACCACCACCACCATCATCATCATCATCATCATCATCATCATTATCAGCATTATCATCATCAGAATCATCATCATCAGCATCAGCAGCAGCATCATCACCATCCTCCCTCCTCCTCCTCCTCCTCCTCCTCCACCTCCTCCTCCTCCTCCTCCTCCTCCTCCTCCGCACCACCACCACCACCATCACCACCATCATCCTGTGATCAGAAGCAGCAGCCCCCCCTGAAAAAAACAAACAGAAAACTCGTCCTCCTCATCCCCTTCATCCGAGGAGGATCGGTGGCGGAGGCGCACCCGAACGAGCCAGTGGCCGCCTCGGGGCCAGCGCCTCGAAAGCCGAAGGCCTTGGCATAGAGCTGCCGGACGCCGGCGGAGGGGTCCTTGGTGGAGCGGCGCGGCGCGTCCGCGGCGGCACGCGAGGTGGTTGCTTCAGGCCGTGCAGTGGCAACGTCGGCGGCGCGCCGAGGGGGGTAAGTGAGAGGGGAGAGGCCTTCTCAGAGGGGGGCGGGCCATCTCAGAAGCCCTCTGGCCTTCCAGGAGCGGGGTCCCAGAGTAGGTCACGGACCCCTCCAGGGGTGAGGGGCAGTGGGGCATTGTCCTCAGCGACACCACCTGTGGCCATCCTGGAGCGCGGGTCGTCGGCGGCTCGCGATGGTCTGGTCGCAGCGGCCACGTCGACCAGAGGGGGGGGCGTGCAACTGCCTACGCTGACAACGCGACAGGGAACCAGCCAGACCAGAGAAGGGGAAGAGGAGGGACTCGTGCCTACTTACTCGGTTGAATCGGCCACGCAGAATCAACGGACCGCTGGCAGGTTGGGCATGCTCGGCCAGGACGCCATCCGACAGCCAAGGCGCGGGAGCGGACGAGGGAGAGGGGAGGCGGGGCAAGGGGTAGGGAGGGCAGGAGGGAGCAGGGAGAATGGAGGAGGGACGAGGGACGAAGGGGAAGGAGGAGAAAGGAGAGAGTAGAGAGAGGAGAACGAGGAGGACGAGGGCGGAGCAAGTTACGGGGACGAGCAAAGGGGGGAAGGCGAGGGAGGTGGGACGATGGAGGGTCGGTTTTCCCCCTTACACACACACACACACACACTCCGCCTCCACGAACCTCTGGAACGCATGCTGGAGGGTCCGTCTTCGGTGTTTCGTGATGCCGCTGTGGAGCCGCATAGAGGATCACCTCTTGGGGCTCTCTTGGGTCAGTTTTCGGGCCGTCTTGTAAGGGACAGCATCTTGGGCAGCGAAAATCCGCATTGCGCCCATCTGGCCGCCGTGCCGGGGTTCGTGAACGAGTCCTCTGAATGTCTCTTGGGGTCTCTCGGGAGCCCACTCGGAGCCTCTGGGAAGTAGTGTCGGAGACCTCTAAGGGGGGGGGGCCTCTGGGGGCCTCTTGACGGCCTGTTGGGGGCATGCTGGGGGTATTGGGATAATACTTTGGGGAAAGCTCCCAAGGCCCCTTCGCTGTGTTTATTTTGGGCCCCTCTCAGAGACCTGTTGAAACCCCTATTGGACCGTCTTGGGGGGGCTCATACTCAGCCTTGGCTTTCTTAGCGCGATCTTTGGGGCCTCTTGGGCCGCACTGGGCGGTCGGAAATCCAAAAAAAAGCTGTTGTGCGAAAATCGTTCGGACATTTTCTGGGTAAAACTGTTTTGCCGCTTGGGGCCCTCCTGGGCCGCCTTGGGAGCCTCTCAATATTGGGGCACTCCTGGGCCGTCGTGGGACCATCTTGGACCGTTTTTTTTCTTTGCTGCGCCGTCTGAAAATGCACGTTTCACGACAGTCCTGGGACCGAGATGCACGCAGCAATGTCAGGAAAACTGCCGTCTGAAAATGCACGCTTCACGACAGTCCTGGGAAAGCTGCCGTCCGAAAATGCACGCTTCACGACAGTCCTGGGGCCGAGATGCATGCTTCAGCGACAGTCCTAAGAGGACCGAGGTGCACGCAGCATTGCCGGGAAAACAGCAGTCTGAAATGCATGCTTCAGCGACAGTCCTGGGAGGACCGAGGTGCACGCAGCACTGCCGGGAAAACTGCAATCTGAAATGCACGCTTCAGCGACAGTCCTGGGAGGACCGAGATGCACGCAGCAATGCCGGAAAAGCTGCCGTCTCAAATGCACGCTTCACCTAGAGTCCTGGGACCGAGGTGCGTGCAGCATTGCCGGAAAAACTGCAGTTTGAAAACGCATGCTTTAGCGTCAGTCCTGGGGCCGGGGTGCACGCAATGCCGAGAAAGCTGCCGTGTACGTCTCCTCCTTCTTCTGATTCTCCTCCATCCGCCTACGACGACTCCTATACCACTGCGTCGCGTCAGTCCTGGGACCGAGATGCACGCAATGCAAGGAAAGCTACCGTCCCCTTCATCCTCCTCCCCCTCAGCCCCGCTGAAAACTCCCTGTCGCTGATCAATCAAAAGTAATGGCAAGGAGAGTCTGGAAAGTAGGATGGAGGGAAGACACGAGCGACCAGCTCCTGAGTCTTAATGAGCGGATATTGCAATCCTGACAACAGGCGAACGTCACCTGCGAATCTCTTCGGACCGTCCGAAAACAAAACGGTCTTTGTAAGCAAAGGCGCTGATGCCCGCAAGCGGAGCTCACCTGCAAGTCGGCCCACCAGCCTGACACGCCCGTGCGCGAGTGGCATACCCGGTGACCCGCTGAAGACCCCCCGCCGCTGAACAAATAAAAATGATGGCGAGGAGAGTCTGGAAGATAGGATGGAGGGAGGGCACGGGCGACCAGCTCCTGAATGCCAATGACGCCGAGGGAGCGGCCGGGGAGCGGGTCAGGAGGCCCCAGGGTGGGGGGAACCCAGATTGGGCCCTTCTTGGGGCCGTCTTGAAGGCCCTCTTGGTTGCCCAGTCACCAGCAGTCAGGCTCAGCAAAGTCACGCATCGCAATTTGCCAAAACGGCCTCTTCGAACCTAATTTGTCATTGCCACAGGGTGGGGAGAAGCCATCAGGATACCTCTAGGACAGAGCCCCAGCTACGCTCTTCCCGAAGTGCAGCCGCGTCAAGGCCTTCTCATTGCGCGCGTCAGGATCTCGCCAAATCTCGCAGTTGCGATTGCTTCCCCACGTCTGAGCCAGGGAATCGAGCTCTGAACGTTCGCAAAGCTGAATGAGGACCTAAGTTTTGACTCCGCACCCTTCGACTGCGAGAGGTAGCGAAGCAGAATCCAAACTAGGCCGGCATACGATTCGCCATCCATGAACAAATAATTCGGCATCCATAGGCCACTTATATTATTGGTCTGTATGTTTGACTTGAGCGACTTGATCGTGTCTACGATCTGGATGTATGTGAGGCCATCGAAATCCTTCCCCATCATTGCAAACGTCAAGTTGACAGCATCAGCCATAGCCCCTCGGGGCCGTAGGCGCCAAACGCTTTGCTGAGCCAGCGGAACGCGTGCTGCTCGAAATTCACATTCTCGCCATCGGCCTTTTCGAACCCAGTCTTCCTGAGGAGGTCTGACGCCTCTTTATCGAAACCGAAATTATCAAGCAAGTAATCGGCATGCAAGTTGGCCTGCCGGCCCAGATTTGCATGCCGATTAACAAACGCCCCCCCATCGGCCACGGTGGTGATCGACGGATCCAGCTCCTTAAACTTTTCGATGAAGTATATCAGCTTCTGCGTGGCACCCGCACTATTATGGGCAATCGCTGGGGTTTTCTCGCAGTATTCAACCATGTCCAGAACCTTTACAGCCTTGTCCTGAACGAACTTGCTGAGATTGCAGGGAGGGATTGGGACCTCCAGGCTCTCGAATACTTTCTTGATCTCTTCCAGCGTGAAGATGTCCATCACCGCGCTGGAGATGTTCGGGCCATAGGCTGGTACGTTGTACGGCTTGGGACAGACATCCCCTTGGCGAAGTTGAAGGGCGGCATCGAAGCCCGAACATCCGCCTCCCGCTCGTTGGCGGGCGCCAGCCAATGGCACCTCCTCGCCTCGTGGCCATTGGTGAGGTGTCCGCTCCAGAACACCTTGGTCTTGTCCTCGACGACCTGGTCCGAACCCCCACAACATCAGAACATCGTCCTATCGTAAGATCAAGCGTGAGCCTCGGTGGTGTGCTCGCGACTAGTGCCGAGGCTTGGTCACCCGCGGCGCGAGGTCGTCTCGCCACCGCGCCCCTTGAGCCAAAATGGCTTGAGCCAAAATGGCTACGGAGGACCATCTTGGACCGTCTTGGGCCATTCTCGAGGCCCTCTTGGGCCGTCTTGTGATCCTCGCGGAGCTTCGAATCTCTGGGTGCCTCCTGGGGCAGCCCAGGAAGCCCCCTGGGACCCCTCGGGGCGGAAGGCGCCACTCGTCTGACTCCGGGGTCCCCACGGTGTCCTCCTGCCGCGGGCCGCCCAGGGCTGGGCTTCTGGCAGATGGGAGATTCACAACGCATATCACCCCCCTCCTCCTCCTCCTCCTCCTCCTCCTCCTCCTCCTCCTCCTCCTCCTCCTCCTCCTCCTCCTCCTCTCCTCCTCCTCCTCCTCCTCCTCCTCCTCCTCCTCCTCCTCCTCCTCCTCCTCCTCCTCCTCCTCCTCTCCTCCTCCTCCTCCTCCTCCTCCTCCTCCTCCTCCTCCTCCTCCTCCTCCTCCTCCTCCTCCTCCTCCTCCTCCTCCTCCTCCTCCTCCTCCTCCTCCTCCTCCTCCTCCTCCTCCTCCTCCTCCTCCTCCTCCTCCTCCTCCTCCTCCTCCTCCTCCTCCTCCTCCTCCTCCTCCTCCTCCTCCTCCTCCTCCTCCTCCTCCTCCTCTCCTCGTCCTTCTCCTCCTCCTCTCCTCCTCCTCCTCCTCCTCCTCCTCCCTTCTCCTCCTCTTCCTCTCCTCCTCCCTCTCCTCCCTCTCCTCTCATCCCCACGCTCCCTCCCTCTCCTCATCCTCCTTCCTCTCATCCCCACCACCAGCTTTTCGCATGCCCCTCCTCCCTCATCCCTCCGTCTTTCAACGGCACCTCAGGCTCGTCCTGCACCAAGAGCTCTGCGTCCATCCAAGCACGCGGGAGCAATCGTCTCAAAGTGTCTAGTCCAGAGTCGCGTTCGGGCTTCAGGCGGGCAGCGCACGCAATGGGCAAAGATGAGTCGGGTCAGACCCTCTTGCTGTCCCATAATTACCCCGCCTGTTCCCCACCCACCACGCTTCACGCTGGTGGGTGGCCCAGAAGGGCACGCTGATCGTACCGAGGGCAAGGGTTCATCACGGAGGCCGCCTCGAGTCCTAATTCGACGCATGTTCGAAGCATGTGTGAAATCCGGTGTGAAGAGCTGGGAAGCATTTGGGGGGACAGTAGCGATATGTTGATCCACCTTTTTTGGGGCGCGCGCTGGTCACACTCGAGACAGGCGCCCAGAGCCCCACAGGCGGTCCCACAATGCGCTGGGCTCAGTCGCAGCAATGTCCTCCGGCCGCCCGTCACAGAGCGCCCAGTTGCCCCGCCGGATCTCCGCCTCCAGCTGGCCGGGGCCCCAGGCGCAGTGGCCTCGGAAGAGCAGCAGGCGGGGATGCCCCGCGCTCCGTGTGCCGCCCAGCTCCTCGGCACCGGCGGCTGCGGCCAGCCGCCGCAGTGACTCGGCTGTAGCGGACGCGTCGAGTGCGTCCCATTGCGATGGCGCGTAGAGCCCCGGCAGGGTGCCGCTGGACGGGATCACCGCGCAGACCTCCCCGTCGGGCTGGACAAAGGAGGCGAGGCGTGTGTACCGCACGACATTGAAGCGCCCACCGCAGACGGGGCCGCCGGCCAGCACGCGAGCCGCGAGCACACCGCCGACCGTGGGGTCACGGAGCGTGTCGTGCAGCAGGCCCTCCACCTCAACCTCCCGCGTCAGGTCCACTCCTTTCAGCGGCCCACCCAACTCCACCAACGCTCCAGGGCGAGTCGTGCGCCCTGCTGTGTGGCAGACGAGGACCACGGAGTGGTGGAAGGTGCGGCCTTCGCCTTCCAAGTTCTCCGTCGCAACCAGCAGCGTGCCAGTCGGGTCGAACAAAAGGGGGGGGAAACAAAACGGGGTTCAGCGAATCAGCAAACGTGGCTCAGTGGCTGGTTTCTCTGGCGCCTCCCAGCGCCAGAGGCGGCCATGCATCGAGGACAGTACCCGGCGGCTGGGCCAAAACCGTCTGCATGCAGCAAATCTCGTCCCAACCCCCTGTCCCCATTACCCCGTTTCGTCCGACCCGAGCCGGGCCGCACCGACATCACTACCGCGGGTATTGCTGGCGCCAGGGAGCGACCCTCGAAGAACAGAGGCTCCCCGCAGACACCGCACACCGCCGCTCGCCGCAGTGCCTCGTCGGTGAGTCGTCTGTCCAGCAGGGAGGTCTGCCACTTGCGCAGGCATCCCAAATGCACGAGTGCTGCAGTGCCACGGCAAGCACACGGAGACACCAGCTGCTGGTCACTGCCAACGCTCTCGGCGGCTTCCACTTCATCGCTGGCTGCCTCTAAGCAGAACCTGCATACAGGATCCTCCGAGCCTGCCCCAGCAGCGCACGGTTGCGCGGCAGACCCACAATATGCAGCCATCGCAGCCCATGGGAATGGGATGGCCGCGCTTTAAATCACCTGCTTCACTCTCGTGCCGCCTTGGCTACGGAAAAATACTCAGAGATGTCGGTTGCACCAGGGCTTCCCGCTCGAGAACCTGATTTGGGTTGTATACGGTCTCCATAGAGGATGGAAATGCGGGGCTGCTGGGCCCTCTCGATCGCCAGGGACTGCAGGTGTGGTACAGTCGCCGCTGTGCGCAGCCAAACCCTGGAGACAGATTTCAGCAGGGCAACGAGCGGGGCAGACTGAAATCCGCAAGCGTCACTGCGGGACTTTCCACTCATGAAAATCACGGGGAGTCCCTTCACGTGCCGCGCCATAATGATTGCAGCGCGATGCCTCGAATAACTCCTTCTGCCCCCCCCTGTAGTCGACCGCTCTCTGAACACCCAGAGTGCTTAAAACCGTTCCCCACATGGTGCCCTCGCTCCTGGCGCCCCACGGGCCCTTACAACCTTTCTAAAACTCGAGCGGACAGACATGGAAAGCGATATAGACTGCAGCTTGATACATGACATTGGGTCGCTTCTATCTAGATATAGATATACATATATATACACAATAACATGTACATATATATGTGTGTATATATGTATATATATGTATATATGTATATACATATATATTATAACCACACACGCGCGCTACGCGAGCTTAGGTTCCAGTCGCAGATGAGGTACGGGTGCCGTTGTAAGCCCCGCTGTGGTCACAACGACGATTTCCAGCGTTCTCGGGCCCATGCCATCCACGGAAAAAAATCCGTAGTCAGAACGCTCTCGCTCTGCCGGGGCCGCCCTCGAGGGTGGGAGGGGGAAGCCAACTTGTGAAATGATAGGGTATAGCGATGCCCCGCTCGCTCTGGCGGGGCCTGTCTGGCGCTCTGGCGGGGCCGTCCCAGGAGAGGAGGGAGGAGCACGAAAGCTGAGGGGTGAGGGGAGGAAGAGGAGAGAGGAGGGAATGGAGGCAAGGGGAGGGGACGGGAGGGAAGGAGGGACGGAAGGGGGAGGCACGGGCCATTTAAGCCGTCTTGGAGCGCTCTGGGGCCTCCCGCTCCCGCTCTGTGGCCCAGCTTGGGCCTGTCCTGGGGTTCTCTTGGGCCGTCTGAGGCTCGTCTCGGGCAATTTTCGGGTTCCCTGGGGCCGGCTTGGGGCTCTTTTGGGTGTCTCTTCGGCGGTCTCGGGGCGGTCTTGGGGGCGTCTGCTGCCGTCTTTGAGCACTGGAAGCTCAAGAACGCGAGAAAGCGTAAAATATCGAACAAACCAATGCAGATCATTGATTTGGGCCTATTGGTGCTCTCTCAGGACGTCTCTCGGAGCTCTCTTGGGCCCTCTTGAAGGCCGTTTGGGCTGTGTGTTTGCCGTTTTGAGCTCCTCTTCGGCCACGTTGGAATCATCTCGGTCGTCCTGGAGCGCCCTGGGGCCTCCCGCTCCCGCTCTGGGGCCCATCTTGTGCCTCTCCTGGGATTTTCTTCGGCAGTTTTGGGCTGCTCTTGGGCAGTCTTCAGGCTCTCTGGGGCCGTCTTAGGGCTCTTTTGGGGGCCTCTTCAGCGGTCTTGGGGCGATCTTCGGGGCGTCTTCGGCAGTCTTGGAGCGTTGGAAGCTCGAGAACGCGAGAAAGCGAAAAACACTAGAAACAACTACCAGAAATCAAGGATATTGCCCTCTTCGGGCTCTCTCGGGACGCCTCTCGGAGCTCTCTTGGGACCTCTTGGAGAGCTCTCGGGCTGTGCATTGGCCGTGTCAGGCCCATCTGGGGCCACGTTGGGGCCATCAGGGCCGTCTCGGAGCGCCTTGGGGCCTCCCGCTCCCGCTCTGGGGCCCAGCTTGGGCCTGTCCTGGGGTTCTCTTGGGCCGTCTGAGGCTCGCCTCGGGCAATTTTCGGGCTCCCTGGGGCCATCTTGGGGCTCTGTTGGGGGCCTCTTCGGCGGTCTTGGGGCGGTCTTGGAGGCGTCGTCGGCCGTCGTGGAGCGTCGGAAAGTCGAAAGCACGAGACACCGAAGAACATCGAAAAAAAAACCACGGAAGTCAAGGATCTGGGCCTCTTCGGGCTCTCTCGGAACGCCTCTCGGAGGTCTCTTGAGGCCTCTTGGGGGCCTCTTGGGCTGTGCATTTTCGGTCTGGAGCCCATCTTGGGCCACGTTGGGGCTATCTGGGCTGTCTTGGAGGGGCTGGTCGAAGGCCCCCGGGGGCTTCTGGGAGCGTCTTGGAACTCTCTGGGGCAATCTGGGGGCTCCACGGCCCCTCTGGGGTGCTCTGGAAGCGGTCTCGGAGGCCCTGGTCCCCCCATGCCCGCTCCAGGTCGCGGCCCCGGGCGCCCGGGCCTCGTGCGCGTGTGTGCGTGTGTATATATATATATATACATGTATATATATATATATATATACCCACCCATCGTCCTGCGACTGCTGCTGCTCCCCCTTGTCCTCCGCCTTCTCATCCTCTTCGTCGTCCCCGTTCTCCTCCACTCGTCTTCCTCCTCTTCCTCATCCTCAGTTCCTCGACAAGCTGCTCCACCTTGACTTGCTGCTGATCTTCCTGCGCATCTCCTCGTCATCCTGACGCCTTCTCCCCTCCTGCTGGTCCGTCTCATTTCCCTCACCCTTGACATGCTGCTCGACCTCATCCTGCTCCTGATCCTCCATGCCCTCGTTCTCCTGAGCATTCCGTTCGTTTCCCAATGTCAGCTTGTACGCATGCATCTGGCGATCGTGGTCAGGTCAGAACGATAATCCCGTAAACAGCCCGCAAGCAAGCAACTGCGAAACTGGTACGCAACTTCTGGGCGCTCTTGGGCACTCTTGGGCGCTCTCGGGCGCTCATGGGCGCTCCTGGGATTCGCCGCGTGGCACTTCCCGAAGCCCTGGATGCGCTCCTGGGGCCCCGAACTTCAGCATGCTCTGGAAAAGCCCCAGGGCACATCCTGGAACCCTCTTGGGCAGTCTTGGAGGCCCTGGGTGCCAGCCAAGAGACCGTTTTTTTATCGGCGATAACCTGGGTTATCACGGTGGGGGGGGGAGGGGGCCCGCCGATAACCTAACCCTCGCGCTGTGGGCAGCCCTGCATATGCCCACGCCCCCCCCTCCCGCGGACCTGCACAACCGGCAAGGTTAGGTTATCCTGCGGGGGGAGGGGGGGGCAAGCCCGATAACCCGGGTTATCGCCCGACCCTAAGAAAAAAGTCTCCGAGATACCAAACTCACTGAAACCCTTCAGTTCTGGAACTTCGAAATTGAAAGTGTCCCAGGCGGCCCAAGAGGACCTCAAGATCGCCCCAGGAAGATCTCGGAGGCCCCCCAATAGGGCCCAAGAGGCCCATAAGACGGCTCCAAGAGGGATCCCTGAAAGCGCGCCACCGCGGCTCCGCTGGAAGCCACCCTTCCAAGAAGTGTCCGAAACCCCCAAGAGGCCCCTAAGAGGCCCCCAGGAGGACCGCAATGGGCCCCAAAGAGGACCCAAGAGACGCCCAAGACGCCCCAACAGACATCCAAGAGGTCCCCAAGAGGCCTCCAAGGGGCTTCCAAGAGGCTTCCAAGAAGCCCCTGAGAGACCTACCAAGAGGCCGCACGAGGCCTCTAACAAGCCCCTTGTCACGACCCAGGCACGGTGGCGGGATGGGCCAAAGGTCAAGCGATAGTGTGATAGACATTGCGGAAGATGTCCTCTCCATGGTGAGGGTAGGGCCCCCTCGACATTCTGGAAAGATTCGTTCCTTGCGCCCTTAAAACCCCTCTAGGACACATGCTGGGAGAGGACTGACGAACCCCCAGCCGAGTACATACTGCGCCCTTGGCTGCCTGCACCGACCAAGAACATCACAGCAAAAAGCGACGGGGCGAGCTCATCTCCTGAGCTCCGTTGCTCATGGCGTTTCGCAGCGGCGTGAGCGAGGCGATCACAAAGGGACCACCAAAAGCGCCTTCCCAACGCAGGCTTCCAAGCGGCATGTCATGGTATGTCATCTAGCGCTGCGGGGAGGGCAGAGATGAACTTTCTGAGAGAACCTTCAACTCGGAATTCTGCAGAGACGTCAGACAAGAAGATACAGAGAGAGAGAGAGAGACCGAGAGAGAGTCAAAAGAGAGAGAGGGGGAGAGAGAGAGAGGGGAAGAGAGAGAGAGAGAGAGAATGAGAGAGTCTGAGAGAGTGTGAGAAAGAGAGAGAGAGAGAGAAACCGAGCGTACTCAGCGCAACGAGTCTGTGTTCTGTCACGCGCGCGGGCGCATGCTCACGGAAATCTGGCCGCGAGGAGCTGTGAGAAAGAGAGAGAGAGAGAAAGAGAAAGAGAGACTGAGAGAGAGACACACACACACACACACAAGCGCGCACCAGCAAACCTAAATATTCCACAAACAGTGCTTGCATGGGTTCTTACCCCTTTTCTAAAGAACTGGGCCTGGGTGGCGGTTTGGCGGCTTCCATGCTCGCCGTCGCCGCCCCGTCGCCGCTTCATCGCTGCCCGTCGTCTGGGCCTTGGTGGCGATCTGGCGGCTCCGTGTTCGCCGTCGCCGCCACCTCGCCGCCTCGTCGCCGCCCGTCGTCTGGGCCTGGGCGGTGGTCTTGCGGCTCCGTACTAGCCGTCGCCGCCCCGTCGCCGCCTCGTCGCCGTCAGTCGCCTGGGCCTGGGCGGCGGTCTAGCGGATCCATGGTCGCCGTCGCCGCTTCGTCGCCGCCCCGTCACCGCCCCGTCGCCGCCTAGATTGCAAGACATAGATTGCACCACCGGCCCGTCGTCGCGTAGATTGTACAACACCGATTGCACCACATAGATTGCACAAGATAGATGGCACCACAGAAATTCTCCTTTCCACACAGGAATTAGGATCTACCACACCCCCTGAGCAGAGGTGATTGGTCCCCTAGAAAATCTGCAATTTACATGGGAATATGCCTCAGTGTTGGTTCTAATGTGAGCTCATGTCATCCCAGCCAAACCGGGGTCGACACCCCCAACCATCCTCTGCAAATTCGCCTGGCTAAGAATCCAACCATATGCAGTTGTGGGTGCAGAAATTGCGAGTACCGTCTGAGGTGGAACTTCCCTATGCGGCAACGCCCGCATGCGGGCTGTGCCGCTGGGGCCTTCGGTGGAGCTCCCTGTGGAGCCACGAAACGTACGATGGGCGTGCCGAAACGGGGGTGTCGCCCACATGCGGGCTGCGCCATAGGGGCCTTAGGTGGAGCTCCATGTGGGGCTATGACCCGTGTGAGGGTGTGCCGAGACGGGGGTGGCGCCCACATGCGGGCTGCGCCATTGGGGCCTGAGGTGGAGCACCTCATGGGGCCACGAAACGTGTGAGGGGCGTGCCGAAACGGAAGTGGCGCCCACATGCGGGCTGTGCCACTGGGGCCTGAGGTGGAGCTCCATGTGAAGCCACAACCCGTGTGAGGGTGTGCCGAAACGGGGGTGGCGCCCACATGCGGGCCCTTCCATTGGGGCCTGAGGCGGAGCACCTCATGGGGCCACGAAACGTGTGAGGGGCGTGCCGAAACGCAAGTGGCTCCCACATGCGGGCTGTGCCACTGGGGCCTTAAGTGGAGCTCCATGTGGGGCCACGACCCGTGTGAGGGTGTGCCGGAAACGGGGGTGTCGCGCCCACATGCGGGCTGCACCAGTGGGGCTTTAGGTAGAGCACCTCATGGGGCCACGAAACGTGTGACGGGAGTGCCGAAACGGAAATTTCGCCCACATGCGGGGAAGCGGGTGTGGCGCCCACATGCGGGCTGCGGCAATATGACCTTGGGCGGAACCCCATCTTATAGGGCCACGAAGCGTGCGAGGGTGTGTGCCGAAACGAGGGTGGCGCCCACATTCTTGCTGTGCGAATGTGACCTCAGGTGGGGTTTCCCTATGGGGCCACGAAACGTGAGGGTGTGCCGAACAGTGGCGGCGCCCACATGCGGGTTGCGCCAATGGGACCTTAGGCGGAGCTCCCCATGGGACCACGAAACGCGTGAAGGGGTGTGCCGAAACGGGGGTGGCGCCCACACGCGCGATGCGCCAATGAGACCTCAGGCTAAGTTCCTATGGGGCCACGAAACGTGAGGGTGTGCCGAAACAGTGGCGGCGCCCACATGCGGGTTGTGCCAAGAGGACCTTAGACGGGGTTTCCTATGAGGCCACGAAACGTGCGAGGGCGTGCCTAAGCGGGGGTGTCGCGCCCACATGCGGGCTGCGCCAATGGGGCCTTAGGTGGAGAACCGCATGGGGCCACGAAACGTGTGAGGGGTGTGCCGAAACGGGGGTGGCGCGCCCACACGCGGGCTGCGCCAATGGGAGTTCAGGCGGGGACCCGTGTGAGGCCACGAAACGTGTGGGGGGTGTGCCGAAACGGAGGTGGCGCCCACATGCGGGCTGCGCCAATGGATCGTTCGGCGGAGCTCCCTGTGTGCCCGCGAAACGTGTGAGGGGTATGCCGAAACAGGGGTGGCGCCCACGTGCGGGCTGCGCCAACATGACCTTAGGCGGGGCTTCCCATGGGGCCACGAAACGTGTGACGGGTGTGCCGAAACGGGGGTAGCGCCCACATGCAGGCTGCACCAATGGGAACTTAGGCGGAGCTCCCTGTTGCAGGGCCACGACCCGTGTGAGGGGTGTGCCGAAACGGGGGTGTCACGAATATGCGCGCTGCGCGAATGGAGTCTCAGGTGGAGCTCCATACGGGACCACGAAACGCGTGAGGGGTGCGCTGAAACCGGGGTGGCGCCCACATGCGGGCTGCGCCAATGGGACCTTCGGCGGAGCTTCGTATTTGGCAACGAGGCGTGTGAGGGGCGTGCCGAAACGGGAGCGATGACGATGCTGGTGATGATGACGGTCATGGTGATGATGCTGATGACGATGATGATGGTGATGGTGATAACGAAGACGATGACGGTGACGATGCTGGTGATGGGAAGAGGGATGGTGGGGCAACGGGAGGACAAGGAGGAGGAGGAGGAGGAGGAGGAGGAAGTGACCCAGGGCGCCGTCACTTCAAAACGAGGACCCAACGCCACAGGATGGTTGGGAGAAAAAACAAAACCAACAAACCAATATCCAGGCGATGAACCCAACCATACGCAGTTGTGAATACCGCAATTGTGGATATATTTTTCGGTGGCGTTCCCTATGGGGCCACGAAGTGCTGCATTGGGTGGGGGGGAACGTAGGCGGGCGTCAGCATTGGGGCCGTCGGTGGGGCTCCCTGAAGGGCCACGAAACGCTGTACTGGGTGGGGGGGGCGCATGCGGGCGGTAGCATTGGAGTCGTCGGTGGAGCTCCCTATGGGGACACGAAACGTTGTCCTGGGCGGGGGGACGCATGCGGGCGGTAGCACTGGGACTTTCGGTGGAGCTCCTTGCGGGGCCACGAAAAGCTGTATTGGGCGGGAGGGACGCATGCGGGCGGTAGCGTTGGGACCTTCGGTGAAGCTCCCCATTGGGCCACGAAGCGCTGTACTGGGTGGGGGGGCGCATGCGGGCACCCCCACTGGGGACCTCGGCGGAGCCCCCTTTTTATGGGAGCCCCCTTATGGGGCCACGAAACGCTGGCGGGGGGGGTGGGGGGGGGGCATGCGGGCATCCCCACTGGGCCTTCGGTGGAATTCCCTATGGGGACACGAAACGCTGTACTGGATGGAAAGGGACGCATGCGGACACCCCCACTGGGGCCGTCGGTGGAGCTCCCTATGGGGCCACGACGCTGTGTAGTGGGTGTGGGGGACGCATGCGGGCACCCCCGCTGACCCTTCGGTGGAGCTCCCGATGGGGCCACGAAACGCTGTACTGGGTGGGGGGCGCATGCGGGCACCCCCACTGGGGCCCTCGGTGGAGCTCCTTGTGGGGCCACGAAACGCTGTGCTGGGTGGGGGGGACGCACGCGGCACCCCCAGTGGAACCTTTTTGTGAAGTTTCCAATGGGGCCACGAAACGCTGTGCTCTGTGGAGGGGACGCATGCGGGCACCCCCACTGGGGACGTCGGTGGAGCTCCCTAAGGGGCCACGAAACGCTGTACTGGATGGGGGGGCGCATGCGGGCCCCCCCACTGGGGCCTTCGGTGGGGCCCCGCATGGGGCCACGAAGCGTGTGAAGGGCGCGCGAAGGTGAAAGGGTTGACGGGGGGAGGGAAGAGGGGGAAGAGGAGGAGAGGAGAGGAGGAGAGGAACGCGGGGACCGTCTCTTCAAAACGAGGACCCAACACCACTGGATGGCTGGGGAAAAACGATGCGCGCACACTCTTTTATCAAAAACCATCGGTGCTCAAAACCCGTTTGACACATGATGTGACGTAGCGCACACGCGCGCCTCGTCGCACGCGCATACCGCAATCCTTTGAAACCCCTGGCGTCTTAGATTTAAAAACCGAATGTCCCAAAAAAACAAAAACACACATGATGCTGCAGCCTGGTTTAAGCCAGAAATACGCGCGCGCACCTTTGCGAATTCTTACAGAGTCCACAATTCATTTTAAAGAGTTTCATACAATTTGACGAAACGGGCTTCTCGCACGCTCAATGAAATCGTTCGAACGCCCTTGCGCGCGTGCTGGGGAGGAGGGGGGCACGATCCCTGTCAAATACTACCAAGCGGGCCACCCGCGCCCGTCGGCTGCGCGCGCATGTCGAAATTCTTCCAAAACCTCCATCGCCGACACGCGGGCACCACCATCGTCGCCGGCACGATCAGCACTGGAGCCGTCATCGGCCGCGCAGCCGCCATCGTCATCGTCGTCACCAGCATCGTCACTATCACCATCGCGTCTGCCATTGTCGACGTCGCCATGATACCGCGCCCGCCCGAGTCACCGACTCGGACGGCAGTGCCCGCGCGCCAGCGCGGCCTGCGAGACTCGCTGGGAAGTCTCCAATGGTCAGCGCCACCGCGGCCGCGGCGGTCGCGCCAGGCAAGCCGGCCGCCCTGCGCGCGAGCCTGCGCGG